CAACAATGGTGACCTGGGAACCTTTGATATCTTGGAAAGTAGATCAGTTGGTTCAAATAGTTGGATGTGAAATGAAATTACAGATGGAAAGCTTTTGCCACTTCTGCTTTATGATTTGTATATTCAAAACAAGTTCTTTGTCGTTGCTTCAAACTACAAGCTCATGAATAAATTAGGTGTAGCCATTCGCTGCCACATGTTTTCAATCAGTTGGTTCAAGCTTTCAATCCCTTCCTTGTTCGGCTTTGTCTCCACTTGAACTTTTGTCTTTGTACCATCCAAAGCTGAAGGAGAAACATCCTGCCAAAAAAAACAAAGGTCAAAAGCAAAGACTAGCTGCCATATCTACTGCTGAATCCACCAAGTCTTCTGTTTTGGTTACTTGGCTGGAGGAGCAATGGGCTTGGGGCTTCATGAGTGCATGCTTTCAAAAGATTGCATCTCTTGCGCTTCAAGGCATGGTTGCCTGTGGTGTTGCAGAAATTCCACCAGCTTTACAGAAATTGGCGTCTATTGGCACTTTTGGCCAGCACAGTGAAAATTGCCACAGGGACCTGATGAATGGTGTATCCCGCAAACCAGGGTGTGTGTACCTCTGCAGGTCAACATTACTCTGAAAGATGGTTTATATCTGCAGTCCATCATGCTGCCTCATGAGCTCTTCCATTGCATGTGGGAAAGGTACAATGCATATTTCTTGCAAACTTTAACTCCAGCAGGAGAGCCAGGAATGAGATTCTTTTGGGATAAGTTCCAAAATCGCCCACCACAGGGGTTGGTAAGGTCTGGGCAAAAATGCAGCTCTGTTTCTCCTGGAGCAATTTGTTGAAAATTTCCAGCACCAAAGCAAGCAATTTCTTAATCTGGAGTGTGCCTTGGCTTACTTTCCAGTTTCACAAGTTAAGAGTTACTTTCAAATACTTTTTCTTTTTCCACTCAAAAGTCTTAGGCAGAAAAGTCAGGGGATGTAACTTTTTTTTGGTTTCCAAGCTTTCACCTGAGGTCTTTGAACCTTTGATGTCTAGGGTTACTCTAGACGAGGTGTTCCAGATTTTGAATTGGAGCTTTGAATGCGTGTCATCTGGAGCATCCCCTTCTTGTGATTGGAAAGGAAGACACTTTCATGTGGATTCTCCAGCTGGCAAGAAGGCTGGTTCAGCTTTGGCAGGGGGTTACATTGCACCAATGGTAGCACTCCAAGGAGATACTTTTCCACACATCCCCAAATGCCAAGGTGGAATGCTGCTTCTAGTTATTGCAGTTTATGCCGAGCTGGAGGATCAGGAGTTACTTTTTGCAAAGTGTTTGGGGCTACTGCTCCATGGAGGGAAACTGTTTGGACAGCCAGCTCCTGGAAAGCTTGGGGTTACAGGTCACAGGCCAAATTGTTTGACCTTCCATGGCTCAGTGCTTGCAAGGTATGTTTGGATTACTTACATTGTAAGCACCTTGGCACTGACCAATATCAGTTTGCCAGCATTTTGTACATCCTGTGCTAGCACATCCTCGACAATGAACCAGCCACCAACTTGGCTGTCATTTGGAACAGGATCAAAGCACTTTATGCTGAGGCAAACACACCTTACAGATATAGATATTTGAACAAGCTGTCCATGTTCGTCAGAGCCAAAGGGCCTTGCAAATTACGTGGCAAAGGAAAGTGATATCAAAGGATTTGGAGAAATTCTTCTGCTTGTGTGGAATGAATTCAAAAATGATGCCGTGGAAACCCACAGGATGATCACTGCGATGCTGAAGTTGAATGTGGAGATGGAAAACTCTTGGCCGAAAACAAATGTTATGACGCTTTCCCACCAATGCCTGCCAAAAGATTTCATGACTGTGCTAATCAAATATCACACATGCAATGCTTGTTATATGATCGCTTTGTTGATGAACTTGGACCTACTTTGTTTGGGGTTACTTAATCTATCTATATAATCTATCTATCTAATCTGTCTATCTATCTATCTTTCTATCTATCTATCTGAAAGCTTGAAAACGAAGCAATTCTGCGAGACTTCCTCAATGTTTGAACTCGACAGCATCAAAAACGAAACAATTCTGCGAGACTTCCTCATTTGTCAAAGGTGACAACATCAAAAAAGAAGCAATTCTGCCAGACTTCCTTCAAAAATGGAAAGTTGAGTGCAGAGCTGACGGCCTCGTACCAATGTGTTTTGCGATTTTTCCACGCCACCTGTCTAAACTACTGAGCCTGCCACGAAAAAGTGATGCCAGGTCATACGAAGTGTTGCACCTGTCACGCAAAATCATCTCAACAAACCTGAAGATCTGATGCTCCAAAATGCAACCCCTCTCAGGAACTCAGCGCCCGGACCTCCGAACAGCTCTGATGAACATGTCTCTTGTACTAAATCCATCTTTGCAGATCCTCTTCAAATGTCCCACGCCTGCCATCGTTTTTGGAAATGCCACAAAACCCTCACGTTTTTACTCACTTTTGAAAAGGTGCGCAATCCCTTACGCCTGCCACGCGAAAGCACATCTGAACGTCCAAAAGTGGCGCGAACATGGTGTGCTTTGTACATTTTGACTTCGACATGTGCTTCGCGCCACAATGGCGTACACTTTTTCGACAGCGCAACTTTTAAAAGTGCTCCGAAGCTGAAGTGCTTTGTACATTTTGACTTAGAAATGTGAATCGCGCCACAACGTGTGCACGTTTTCGACATCTCAACTTCCAAAAGTGGTCCGAACTTGGTGTGTTTTGTACATTTTGACTTCGAAATGTGCTGCGCACCAAAAACAGCGTGCATTTTTTCATCTCTCATCTGCCCAGCGGGCTCCGCACCCGCCGCTTTAGCGAGCCTACTTTTCGACCCTCCGGAGCCGCAAATCATTGGAAAAACACAGTGATTCGTGACTTTCCTACCTTCTCGCGCACCTGCATCTTCTTTCTTCTGACTCTTTCTCTCTTCTCTGATCTTCGTGCTTCTTCTCTTCTCTTCGCTGACTCTTCCCACCTCTGCTTTTCCATCTGTCCATAGTGTCGGAAGTTTGACTTCTAAACTTCCTTCGGTAATAAATCGATTTATACGTGGGATAAGCCTATCGAGGACTTGCTAAACAGGCTGATGAACAACCACTTACGCCTAAGTGGGATGATCCTCCAAGTAAGGGGATTAAGGCCAAGCAGTTTATACGAGGTCAGGCGAGGCGCCCGTTTACGGCAGCTAAGCTGACGCGCACAACTTAGTTGACTAGGGTACTTCGGTAATGTAACTATAGCTAATGGGAGATCTAAAGCAGCTGGATGCAATAGGAAAATACACTGTAACCGCAACCAATTGTATATCTTAGCATGTCTCTCTACCATGTTTTTGTGCTATCCCTTTAGGCACTGTTTTGCAATCTTTGTCCCTCTTTTTTAGGAATTGTTGTCCCTAACTTTTGGGAATTATTGCCCCTCTTTGGTGAATTTTTGTCCCTATCTTTGAGGAATTTTTGTCCTAACTTTTGTGACTAACTTTTGGGAATTGTTGTCCCTAACTTTTGGGAATTTTTGTCCCTATCTTTTGGGAATTGTTGTCCCTAACTTTTGGGAATTTGTGTCCCTAACTTTTGTTTTTTTGTCCCTAACTTTTGGGAATTTTTGTCCCTAACTTTTGGGAATTGTTGTCCCTAACTTTTGGGAATTTGTGTCCCTAACTTTTGTTTTTTTGTCCCTAACTTTTGGGAATTTTTGTCCCTAACTTTTGGGAATGTGTGTCCCTAACTTTTGGGAATTTGTGTCCCTAACTTTTGTGATTTTTGTCCCTCTTTCGCCCGAAAGATAAGGACACAATAGATGACACAACCACAAAAGTTAGGGACAAGAATTCCCGAAAGATAGGGACAAAAAATCACCAAAGAGGGACCAATATTCCCAAAAAGTTAGGGACAAAAATTCCCAAAAGTTAGGGACAAAAATTCCCAAAAGTTAGGGGCAAAAATTCCTCCCCAAGCTAGGGAATTTTTGTCCCTAACTTTTGGGTTTTTTTGCTCCTAACTTTTGGGAATTTGTGTCCCTAACTTTTGGGAATTTTTGTCCCTAACTTTTGGGGAATTGTTGTCCCTCTTTGTCGGGAGTTTTGCAGAATTATCCCGTGTGGCGCTTAACCACGTTTTCTTGACCCCTTAAATTGCGAATATTTGACCCCAAATTTTGGGAAATTTAAAGAGGCAATAATTACCCAAACTTAGGGACAATAATTACCCAAACTTAGGGACAATAATTACCCGAACTTAGGGACAATAATTGCCCAAACTTAGGGGCAATAATTACCCAAATTTAGGGACAATAGATACCCAAACTTAGGGACAATAATTACCAAACTCAGGGACAATATATATATATATATATAATTACCCAAACTTAGGGGCAATAATTACCAAATTTAGGGACAATAATTACCCAAACTTAGGGACAATAATTAACAAACTTAGGGTAAATAATTACCAAACTTGGACAAAATACCTCTAAAGAAAACGTGGTAGAGCGCCATGCTAATGTAGATCTATCAGAAACAAAGTCTGTAACCAGCTATACAACCAACTCTGTAAACACATATATACTGGGGCTGATGGGGGGTTGTCAGCGAACACATGGAACCCATCGAAATACCATGGCGCTATCATGGGGACATACTTACAGCTGCAAATTTGCCAAAGAAGATTCCCGTTTTCCGGTGGATCACAACAACTCTGTAAGTATGGGCATACAACCTTTGGTAATCAAGCATGGTAATGGAAAAAAACCCTCACTGACGACTTGTTCTTTAAATTTTGAAAAGACATCTGGGATGGGTCAAAACCTATTAATCCATATTAACCCCAAAATTACTTGAAGGAATACCATCCACTAACCAGCTATGACTTAGGGTACTCCCCGGGTATGTTTTGACATGTTTTGGTTCATAGCCGTCCGTAAGCATTGTAAACTATGGCCTTTGATTCCCAAAGGCAACTCCAAAATCATAGCAGCAAATCCAGGCAGCACAGACTTGGAGAGCTTCATCGGCTTAGGCAGAAGCCCACTCAAGGCATCGATCAGAAATTTCTCAGCCACTAGGACGGTGGCCAAAATCACCTGCGTTTTTTTTCTGCACTTTTCATGAAAAAGCATCGTTTTCAGGATGACCAACAAGAACTGGGATAACTAGCATGATAACTGGATTTCTGGTTAACAAATGGGTAATTAGCATGATAACTGGGTTGAATTAAAACAGACTTGACCCCTACACACAGACGTTGCTCGGCGGTCATCACCCATCATGAGTCGGAACAACCCTGCTGGATCGCAATGCGTTGATCACTGCAGCTGAATTTCAATCAAATCTGACAGAAAACGTGGTGTTAAGTTTCCGTTCTTGGGGGTTCCTATTTCTGTTTCTGAAACCAATTGTCCCAATTGTGGTTTTTTAATGGTTCGGGAAGGGCTGCTTGGCTGAATATATAAATACAGCATAGATAAATAAACAAATAAATAAAGACAGAAAATAATGAAAATACAGAGATAGAAAAGATAAATAAAGAAAATATACAAGCAAAATAAATGACCACTAAAACATATAATATAAAACTTCGACTGAGAAATCCGCATTGAAAGTTTAGAATGGTGGGGGTAATGCGACTCCTTGCTCGGATAGGTCGACGTAAACCCATGCAGATTTACCAGTCTGGTGGGTAGACCAATGCGCAAATCAACAAAGCAGCAAGGCACATCAACAAAATAGACTGATTGTTGCCTCCCCATTTTGCCAGGTGCTGGCCATGTTTGATGTTTAGCTTTGTGGGCTCGGTGAACTACCCGAGAATCACAATTTTGCTAGATGTTGCTCATAAATGCTCTTCTTGTTTGTTCAATGATTCGTCAAAAAAATCAAACGAAGTCTCGAACTGAAACGTTTTTTGGGAAAAACATGCGTCGTGTCTTGTTGTGGTTGACATTGTAGATTTGATCACCAACAAATCTCCAAGTGGAAAATCATACCACCAGACGACCATTTTTCTGTGGAACACGCATGGATAGTAAACTCTGAACGTTTCCGATTTCATCCTCAATGTCATGTCCGAAGTTGCCTGCGGCGTCCAAAGCCCATGTCCCCCGCAAGTCAGTCAGAGCTACCCTTCTCAAATGTGGCAATGATGCAGGAAATGCCATGCTAGTGGGTAGGCATATGCTAGTTTTGAAAACAAAAACCATGTCCAAAACTATCAGTTCGGACAAGACAACATATTACGTACCTCTGCCAAAACCATTAGAAATAGACATTGACATAATCGTTTCCCCAGGGAAACCATGGGTTTTCCATATCTTTCCTAATTCACTTCGGGCCAAATCCCTGTTTTCCATGGAAAAACTATGAAGTTCCTTTGAGGAACATCTGAACATATCTGAACAAATGCTACTGCCTACCCTGGATTAACAACCCCTAAGGTTTAATTGAGGGGTACCGATTCAGGTAAATTGTGAAGCATAGAACACACTACTCATGTCAGTTTCAAGGGTCGTTGCAACAGTTATGAACACTTTGCACTTTGGCCTTGTGTTGATTCACACATGGAACATGTGATCATTGCGCTGACTGCGCAGCCCCTTTTGGTGAGAAAAGGTTCGCAAAGCAATGACTACCAGGAGCAAAAACATAAAATCAAATGCAGAAGGACAAGTAACAAAGCTTCAAAATTGCTTTAAAAATACATTTTTCACATTGCTTTTACATTTTTAAAATACATGTTTTCACATGTCAAAAAATGCATTTTAAAAATACACTTTTTCACATGTTTTTTTGCATGTTTAATTCAAGCTACTACAGCCCTTCTGTAGCTCAGTTGGCCTTGATAACTATATCGTTTGCTAGCTGGTCTTTTGCGTGGAGCCCTGCAAACCCTGAAAGCAGTTCCAAGTGGGGACGGATATGAAGGGCGGAGACAATTGCTTCTCACCTTGCGTCCAATTACAAAGACAGCAATCATGGCCTAGCACAATTTTCAAATGAGCTCTGCACTTCAACCTCAACTGTTGCGTCTTGAAGAAAGTTTTGAAGAAGCCAAGAGGGCAGGTGTGAGTGTTCAGGAAAAGGTGAAGGTAGCAGTACTTTTGAAGTGTTTGTCTGGCCAGCTTCGTACTCATGTTTCTTTGCAGCTTTCAGAAGGCATGTCCTACTTGGAGCTTCGTGAATGTCTCCTCAAGTGGGACAGGGCGCAACAGCGTTGGAGTCATCTTCTTCCAGTTTCTTCTGAGGAGGTTCCCATGGAAGTGGATAGGATTGAGCAAAAAGGTAAGGGTAAGAAAGGTGGTAAAGATGCGAAAGGAAAGGGCAAAGGGGAAAAGATGGCAAGAGCAAGTCTAAAGGCAAGGATGGCTATTCACAAACCTACAACTCTCAGAAGGGCAAAGGCAAGAAAGGCGAGACTGGGAAAGGTAGGGGATCTTGGACCAATCACACCAAAGGCAAAGGGACGCAGTTTGCCTCCCATGATCAGCAGTTTCACAGTGACATCAGATGTTACAGATGTGATGGCAAAGGTCATCTTGCAAACGATTGCCGTGTACGTCTTGTCCAAAAACGAGTTGCCTACAGAAAGCCCAGAGTCGTCACAGAGCGCCATAACAACACCAACCTCTATAGGGTCATCTCATGTCACCTCTGGACAGCAGACAGCAACTAGGATTGCTCGAGTGGTAGGAACTGTTCATGAGGAGTCTTCACCTGTTTCTGCAGTGTTTGGCCCGAGAGACAACTACTCCAGTGAAGGCAGTTTTGTTAGGGCAGTGCAATACTACACAGGAGACTCAGAAGATGATGTGGCCAGCGACATCCGTGCTGTGGTTGAAGCGGCTGAGGACAATTTAGCTTTGAGTTTAAGGAGCCCAGCAGCTTCACAACAATAGTCCTAGACTCAGGAGCAGATGCAACGATATTCCCAGCAGGTTGGCTTTCTGCTGGAACTCAGGTGGAGCGAGATGATGGACCTCGGCGCCTACAAGATGCTCAGGGAAATGTCATTCCCACTTTGGGAAAGCGTGACGTGGAGATTTTTCTACGTGATGTTGGTGGCAAACAGGTCTGCCTCAAGGAGCGAGTGACCAGACAGGGCCACCCAGCCCATCCTCTGCTATGGAAAGTTCATGGAGCAGGGGTGGAGTATCCAGACAGATGAGCAAATGCTGGTTCACTCTACAAACAACACGCGCATCCCAGTTGACCTGCGAAATCGAAGCCTCACTGTTGCTGGACAAATCAGGCTCATTCAGGACAAGCCTCACCACATTAGAATGTTGAAAGCTACGCTAAGTTCTTCTCTTTAAGATCTTCCCCATGGTTGGCATGTCAATGATCTTGGCTTTGAGGTTGGCTACCACATCAGCAATAAGTGCATTGACCCCATGTCCTACAACCCCAATCATGCAGACGTTTTCAGAACAACCTTGGTACAGAATGGTCAGCTGGAGATGGTAGAGTTTTGTGAGGATGTTGGGAAGATGATTGGCTGCGATGTGGAGTTTGAGAATCCAAGTATGCGTGGAGTCATCACCACTGTCTTGACAAAAATGATGTGGTACCAGAAGCAATGGGCTTTCAGCTGGAGGATGAGTATCCTAATAGGAGCATGCGTCCAGAACCCAGAGAACAAGCAAAGAATTTGAAGAGGGTCGTAGAACAGCAGATGCGGTAAGCAGGAGTTGCCTCACCAGCAGTTGAGATGCGGGGGGCAGCAAGTTGCTTCACCAGCAGTTGAGGAGAAGCTAGATGAGATTGTGGTCGAACCATTTGATGTTTCCAGCATCACCGTCAATGGCATCGAATTGACTGAAGGAAGCAGTCTAGCTTCTTTGAGGTTAGCTGGTGGGTTTCGCAACTTGTCAACTTCTGGTTCGAAGGTGAAGTGCTATCGCAGGTTGGTCAACTATATGCAGAAGAAAGGGCTTGAGGCTGCCAAGGAAGCAATGAACATTGGTGAAAGAGCTCACCATCGAGAACCAAGGATGCAGCCAGCAGCCAACAGACCTTCTGATAAGGAAGTGGCCAAACACAACCTTACTCACACACCCTATCAGATGGTGTGAGCACTGCATAGCCCACCGAGCGCGTCCTGATAGACATGAGTGCACAGATGAAGCAAGAGCTGGCACGATGCCAACCATCATCTTCGACCTATGCTATACAAAGGCGCTTGAAGCAGATGGTGTTTCGAGCCCTTGGATTGTCATGGCACACTCGGTTATGTTGGCTTTTGTCCTCTGAAGAGCAAAGGCCAAACCAAGCTGGCCACTTGCGAGATCATGGCTTTCACTCAGAACATAGGCCACCATGAAGTTTGCTTTTTGACAGAGAATGAGCCGACAACAAGACAGATTCTGAGATGTCTTCTCAATGCACGTCATGCTTTGGGACTGCCTACCAGAATCATCACTTCCAAGCTTGCAGACTATTCCAACGCTTTGGCAGAAAATACAGTGAACAAAGTGAAGGGCCTAGCTGGGACGCTCACGGACCAGTTGAAGATCAAGCTTGGTTTGAAGATTGGAACCAGCAACCCTCTATGGTCATGGGCAGCTAGCTCGTCACAGTAGTTGGCTTCTCAATCGTTATTGGCCAGTGCGTGGAGCAACTCCTTTTGAGTTAGTGCATGGCAAGATTTATCGTGGTTCTTTGGCACTTTTCGGTGAGCACATCTACGCCTTTGTCAAGACAGCTCTCAAAGGCCATGCCAAATGGCACAAAGTTTTGTTCTGGGGCAAAGCAGAAAGAAGGCCAAGACTCCTTCATAGTCCATGATAGAAGCCATATCCCCCTCACCAAGAGCATCAGAAGGATTGGGCAGAGTTGGGGCTTGAGCTTGGCATACTTCAAAGAGTTTTCCTGCCCAAGTCTCGACTATCAGACGGGCTTTGGGTCCAGAATCATTCCAACAAAGAGAAAGGCCTTGGCATTGCCGGCTGCAACAAGCCTTGTTCCTTTGGAGTCGATTGTGGTGAAGAAACGTGACCCAGAAGCAGAGGCTGCGGCAAAGCAAGCAGTTGAGGAGAATAGAGAGGAGGGTGAGCTCCAGAGAATGAAACGTGCTGATGATCCACAGAAAGCAATGATGGTGCACTATGAGGACCATGAGAACTTAGATCCTGCGCCAGTGGGGCACCAAGTGGAGAACATTGACAAGTTTCCTGAAGAGAACAAAGGTTTGCCGCAGGAGGGGCCTGAGAAAGGAAAGATGGATGTTTTGGAGGTGGATCATGACACAGCTTTGGAAAGTTTGAGGGTCCCTGTATCAACTCAAATCAGGTTCAGAGGATCTGGTAGCTCTTCAGCTGCACAACATGTTGCCTCCGGAAGCATTGGCTTCAAGTCCAGCAAGTACAAGGCCGACAGAAGGGGGTGATGATGAACACGTTGCCAAGAAGCTCAAAGGGAGCCCGGCCAAGAGGTTCAAAATTGGGCAAGCCAAAGAAGAGATGGAAGCTTGCATTAGGGCAGTGCACTTTGGTGACCTTGAGTTTAACACCGTTGATGAACCAGAGGTTGAGACAGAGGAGATTGAGACTGACCTTTTCAGCGACTCCTTTGAGCATGACGAGGTCAATGAGATTCCTGAATGCTTGTGGGCAGATGGAAGTGGAAAGCCCGGAGAAACAGGTGAAGAGATTGATGCAGTTGCTGAGCATGTGGAGTTGCAGCGCTTGACCAAGATGAATGTGATGCGTGCTGCAGATCAGGTGGATGACCACCACATCCAAAAGACACTCACCACTCGATTTGTTTTCGACTGAGCGATTGAAGCCCTATGACCAGAGCACAAAACGTTGGCTTCGAAGAACACGTTTGGTGGCAAGAGAGTATGCCTTTGAAGAGGGAAGGCGAGATGATGTTTTTAGTCCAGCTTCTTCCTCCCACCTTTTGCATCTTCTTCCTACCCTTTAATTTGGCCAAGCTTTCTGAGACTGACTATATGACAAGTCCAACAACTATGAATACCTTTGGGGAAGCTTCGATATCAAGGATGCGTTCCTTCAAGTTGTTCAGAAAGAACCTTGAGAATCAAATTGAGAAGATGGCAGGATAGCAATCAAAATTAAATTGTCTTGCGCAACCTACCGGGACAGCGTTGGGAAGCACGAGCATGGTCTGAGCATCTCAGTGATTACCTCCAGCAGGAGGCAGACTTCCAACATTGTCCTTTGAACCCGTGTCTTGCGCGAAACGACAAGATGATGCTGCCCGTACATGTGGATGATGTGATACTTATGGGTGACAAGACCTACGTGCAGGAAATCTTCCGTCTTTTGCTCAAGAAGAAGCTTGACTTGAGTTGTGAGTCGTTGAAGGAGGTGGGTGATTCAATTTCCTTTTTGAAAAGGTCGTACACGCGTGTCAACGATGGCATTCTTGTGAAACCTGATATATAACTACATCCAGAAGATGCTGGAAGCTTTTGAAGAGCGCTTTGACATGGTTCGTATTCAACAGGTTCCAGCAGATGGTGGAATACAAGTTCAAGATGGCTCACAGGAGTTGAATGGACCAGACTCCACAACATACAGGTCAGTGACAGGGATGGCCCTGTACCTAGCACAGAAGAGATACGACATTGCCTATTGCATCAAAAGGCTTGCTTGAAAGATGAAGCCCACAGTCCTTTCACTTCAGCGTTTGAGGAAACTCCTAGGTTACCTCAAAGGAGCCCAGCACTACGCGTTGAAGCTGACCATTCCAGCACCTGGAGTGGGAAAGCTAGTCCACAGTGATTGTCAGTGTGTTTTGGAAAGCTACAGTGACAACGATTGGTCGGGACACAGATCCCACCGCCGCTCAACATCGGCGTCCTTGCATTTTCTCAATGGCAATCTGCTTTTTGGGGCGAGCAGGACTCAGAAAGTGGTATCTTTGTCTTCAGCAGAGACAGAACTTCATTCCCTTGTACTTGCGTGGTTGTTTGGAGTTTATTTTGAAGGTGAAGGTCCATCATGAAGCTTTGGTGGACAACTCGGCGCGGAAGTCCCTAGCAAACAAGAGAGGAACTGGAAAGATCCGACATTTGTCATCACAGTTGCTTTGGATCCAAGAGCGAACAGCAGATGGATCCCTAGTGGTGCCACAAGTGTGCACAATGATCAATACTCTTGGCACAATACCTTTGGCTGCAGTGAGAATCAGAAGCTTGCTTTTTCTTCTAGGGTTTGTTGACTCAGAGGATGGACGACCAATTGGTCAGACAGAATATGAAGAAATGATTGAACGCAGCGCCAGCAGCAGGAAAGTGAAACAAATGGCAAATCTCATGCTGAGAATTCGTGCAGTCGGAGGTCTACAAGGTATCGACAGGTTGAGATGAAAGAGCTCAGAGAGAATTAGATAGCGTCGCAGACAGATGAAATTCATGGCATCAATGTTACCATAAGCCGCATAGATGAGGAGATCACAACACCATGCCTGACCGGATGCTTTTCCAGCCGAACTTGGCCGAAGTGGTTAGGTTGAATGGGTTGTCAGCTGCAAATCGTGCAGAAGGATGAACCGAAGAAGCCTTTCAGATGTTCTTCCGTTTGTGGGAAGGTGTGGTCAGGCTGGGTGGCTGCATCGAGAGCTTTGAAGATCCCCTGAACGAGGATGAGCGTCGTGAGCTTTTTCTGACGAACAATGGTATGAGAGATGGTGTAGACAGCAGGAGCGGGCATGACAGTCCTACAAGTTGTGGCGATTTGGAGGATGAAGGCTTTGCTGAGCTGAGTCCAGGAGAAATCCAGTATGGAGCACCTCAAACATCACCAGAACCTGAACCGCATAGTATTCATAATGAAGAGCCCCCAACTGGCTATGAACCAGACAGTGAGACCCAACTTCTTCTCGATCCTGAAGAAGACATGCAGGGCTATGCAGATCGCCTGGATCAAGAAGTTCGAGGCCTCCACGAAATACAAGATGAAGCAGCTGGAGTGGGAGATGAAGTCGAAGCAGAGCGAATTAGCCAGATGATCAACAACCTTGAGGGGTTATTTTTGCATTTGCCAAGGCCAAGGAGGCTAAGGTAAGATTTTTTCAAGATGGAACTTAGAGTCTAAGACACAAAATTCCAAAGAGGAGTGTGAAACATAGAACAGACTACTCATGTCAGTTTCAAGGGTCATTGCAACAGTTATGAAGACTCTGCACTTTGGCCTTGAGTTGGTTCACACACGAACATGTGATCATTGCGCTGACTGCGCAGCCCCTTTTGGTGAGAAAAGGTTCGCATAAATTCAGTATCATATTCTCACTATTTGGAGGATACCCTCCAACATGCATAAACCATCTTCTAATCCAGGTGGTTGACTGGCTGACCCCAAACATCTAGAAAGCATGGTTTCTTTATCCGGGCTTGACAAAATAAATCATGATAATTCCATAGCAATATAAAGCAATGCTATCCAGTCACGGTGTTTTTGCTCACCAGCAGAATTTTGTACATGCCCACGGCTTTTGCGAGATCCTCATAGCTCTTCACGCTCCCTGGAGCTGAGCCCCTCGTTTCCTCCACCAGCTCACAAGCTTCACCTGGGACTGCTGCTTAGCGTTTTTTGGGGCATAACTGGTTCCCTGTTTCTGATGGGTTTCATGCTAAGATTCTGCTAAGATGTCTTTTTAATGTTGAAAAAAAGGGGATACGTACTCTCTGGTAGTCTAAAATAGCTGTGGCAACCATGGTCCGTGAAAGTAGATGTTTTCCCTCTTAAGCATGGTGGTTTTCCATAGCTGTAAAAACGATTGCGGTTACCAGAGAGTATTCCCTATAGATCCCCCATTGCTGGTGATTTTATCATATTTTATCTTAACGATGGCAAAATAAAAAATGACTTAGCAAACCTCAGTCGCAGATGAGTTTTCCCATCCGAATGACCACCAGTGATGCCAGCAACAGCAGTAGAGGAGCCAACAAATATCCAGATTTGGACATGATATTGGGCAAGAGGCACACCATCACCCCAATCAATGCGAGCACCATATTACTCCAAGCTTCTTTTCTAGTGATCCCTTCTCTCTCCTTAAAGGAGGCAGATGGACTGCTTCCAGTGCTTCCATCACTGTCAAGACTCTTTACCCCCTGAGCTTCAGCTAGATAGGCAGCCATGGAGGCGCGCCGCATCTTATCCATGACGGTTTTCCTTGGCACATCATCCCCTGCGCTGGCGCGACGGCCTGCGCAAGGTCGGTTGGCGCCGGCGCCGGCTTCACCGTTGGGCTCCTGGCTGACCTCGAAGGATGCCATGGCGAGGAACGGCGCCACAGCTCGGCCCAGAGATCGAGATGGTGACTGCGGCGATGCGAGGCTGTGGCTTAGGAATCCCTAAGGAACACACCTGGAAAACAAGCACTTTGCAAGCATCAGTTTCGATTTTAGATTTGCATGTAAGATATTGTAAGATCCCCAAGTTGGAAAAAACAAGTTCGCCCCAACCCGGACGTTGCTCCACACTTACAATCGTCATGATCATCATCATCATCATCATCATAATTTTCATCTTTATCTTCATGAGGGGTCAGAATTCGCCACCCCCTGACCAATATGTTGATATATGTTGATTGGGGCAATAACATCAACTATATCTCCATGAGGGATCAAAATTCGCCAGCCCCTATGAACAATATGTTCATTGGGGTAATAACGTAAACTATATCTCCATGAGGGATCAAATTTCGATTTTTGAAGAGACATTGGAAAGGAGACAAATGATGTACGATATAGAAGACAAAGAGGTTTTTTTTTAAAAAAAAAACTATTGCAGCTGATAAGGCTGCAGCTTTGGCCAAGAGAAAGGCCAAACAACAAGAGAGGGGATGACATCAGCTAGAGTCCGCAAACACGCGGTTTATTGTTCAACTGTTTCAAAGGGGTCAGGGGAATTGATCTTAGGATGATCACCATGGAAGTGATGGGACGGTAGTCGGTCACACCCGCAAGTGGGCATTAAACGGCTGTTCAAATTCAAATGAATTAGGTGCACAATATGTTCAACCTCACCAAATACCAAAAAGACCATACCTGCAGGAAAACGACATGCCTGTGGCCTGAAATGCTCGGTGTCTGAGGTGATGCTGTCATATGCACTGTGTCATAGAAGGCCAGCTTCAACAGTTTCAGGAGTCACTCCTGAGCAGGAAAGAAATTTGCCACGGGTTTGCAAGCAAGGTTTCCCAGGAACAGGTTCCCAATTCAAGTAAGGTTCCAAGAGGTTCCCAGGAACAGGTTCCCAAGCAATTGTTCCCAGCAAGAGGTTCCCAAGCAAGGTTCCCAGGAACATGTTCCCAAGCAAGGTTTTGAGGAAGAGGTTCCCAATCAAGGTTCCCAGGCAAATTTACCATGAACAGACTCCCAAGCAAGGGTTCCCAGCAAGAGGTTCCCAGGAAGAGGTTACCAAGCATGGTTCCCAGGAAAAAGTTCCCAGGCAAGGTTCCCAAGAGGTTCCAAGAAAGGTTCCCAGGAACTTGGGAACCTGTTCTCAGGAAGAGGTTCCCAAGCAAGGGTTCCCAGGAAGAGGTTTCCAGGAACAGGTTCCCAAGCAAGGTTCCCAGGAACAGGTTTTGCAAGCACGGATTTCAGGAACCGTTTTCAAGGTTTCGAGGAACCGTTTCCCAAGCAAAACAAGGTTCCCAGAACAGGTTTTCAAGCAAGTGTTTCCAGGAACAAGTTTCCAGGAAGAGGTGTCCAAGCAAGGTTCCCAGCAAGTTTCCGAAGCAAGATTTCCAGGAACATGTTTTTCAAAGCAAAACAAGGTTCCCAGAACAGGTTTCACACAAGTGTTTCCAGGAAGATGTTTCCAGGAAGAGATGTCCAAGCAAGGTTTCTAGCAAGCTGGTTCCCAAGCAATGTTTTCAGGAAGAGGTTCCCGAGCAAGGTTCCCAGCCATAGGCTCCCAGGTTTCCAAGAACAGGTTCACAAGTAAGGTTCCCAAGCACGTTCCCAAACAAGGTTCCCAGGAAGAGGTTCCCAAGTAAGGTTCCCAGCAACAGGTTCCCAGGAACACGTTCGCAAACAAGTTTTCCAAGAACACGTTCACAAGTAAGGTTCCCGGAAAAAATTCCCAGGCAATGTTTCCAGGAAAAGGTTCCCAAGCAAGGTTCCCAGGAACAGCTTCTCAAGCAAGGTTGCTAGGAAGAGGTTCTCAAGCAAGGTTCCCAGGAAGAGGTTCGCAAGCAAGGGTTGCTCCCGGAAATTTTGCTTTGGAACCAGCTCTTCCTGGGAACGCTTGCTTGAGAACCTGTTCCTGCGAGCCTGTTCCTGCTTGGAACCTTGCTTGGAAACGGTTCCTGGGACCTTGCTTGGGAACCGTTTTTGGGAACCGTACTTGCAAGCGGTTCCTAAGAATTTAACCTTGCTTGGGAACCTCTTCCTGGATACCTGCTTGGGAGCCTCTTCCTGGGAACTTGCTTGGGAACGTTTTTCCCCAACAGCGAAAGCTTGGGGTCTTCAGCCACCCCCAAGAACAAGATTTCCAATCAAATTTTCCAGCAACAGGTTCGCAAGCAAAGTTACCAGGAACGATTCCCAAGCCAGGTTCCCAAGAACAGGTTCCCAGGCAAGGTTCCCAAGCAAGGGTTCCAGAAACAGTTGTCAAGCATCCCAGGCAAGGTTCCCGGGAACAGGTTTTGAAGAAAAGGTTGCAAAAAAGGTTTCCAAGAATGGGTTCGCAAGCAAGGGGGTTCCAGGCAAGGTTCCTGGGAACAGGTTTCCAAGCAAGGTTCGCAAGACCAGGTTCCTAACTGGATTTTGCTTCTGCTCTTCCGATTGGACTGTCAAGAAGCCCCCAAACCCAGCTCAGTCGTGTTCTTGGGAATCTTGGGATGTGTTTCTGGAGCTCCGTCGTGTGGGTTCTTGGGGGTCCTGGGAAATCTTGTGGAGTTGGTAGCTCGGTTTGCAGTGCGCAGCACAGCAGATTTGGTTGTCAGGAATTCTAAATTCATCAAGATTCATCAAGATTCACTTCACAAAAGTGAGCAGTCTGGTCTACAATGTGGCCAGAGTTATAAGTTGATTTGCGAACCCCATTATATAACTATAGTTGTAAATTGTAAGTGTCATGAACCGTGAAATTGGATGGCTCCAACTCTGTGAAAGCCAAGTGGATTCGGATCTGAGATATTTTGAGCTCTCAAATGTGGGTAAATAGTGACAAAATGTGACAACTATGGATGATAAGTATGGATGATGAGTATGGATGAGAAATATGAGAACTTTGAATCATTGTCAATTGTGGGGGGGAAAGGTTTTTAATGGCATTTACAATAGCTAGAGTTTTGCTTCCCATGCATCATTCGAGATTTTGGGAAGTGTTTTTTATTTCGAGTCATTGTGATGTTTCAAACATGCGAGGTGCTGTACAAGAGCCTGCTCAAGAAGCTTCAATGTTTGTGACGTTTGTGCAGCAGATCGACAATTCATCATTCAACAGGCTCCTAAAATGACATGTTTAGGATAAATTTGGTGCATCCGGGGAGGTCTTTTCGGGATCAACCGCACCAGGGGCCGCCAGGGGCCATGGAACGGGAGGTGGCATGCACACGAGCTCTTGGATCTGGCCAAAACGCGAAAATGGCATGAGGGGAGGCGGTGATTTTTGGCAAATGGTCCAGATGTTTGGTGTTTGAGCATAACCTCACATGGTTTCTTGATGTTTCTTGAAAGTGCAGTCCCAACCAACTTGGTATCTATGTTTTTTTTAATAAACGAGTTTTTTAGGTGAACTCATCATGTTTTTTCCGGATGTGGAACCTCAGCGCCACTATTGGTGTTGCCCGAAGAGTTGGGATAGCTGTGCAGCACGAGGTGAGGGACTTTGTGAGCAGCAATCCCAGTCTGATCGTCCATGGCCCAGTCAAGACGATGTCTGATCAAACTTTGATTCCAAAAATCAATGCAACTATATGATAACTCCGGAACAAACCCTGGTTGATTAATTTGAGGGCTCCTCTATAATAGTAATAATATGTAACAATACCCACAGACGCCGTGTGTTGCCAGGCTACTAAAATGATACCCCCACTTTTTTCACAGCCTAGCCAGTCGGTAGCCTAGTGGTTTATTCATACTCAATGCATCTCCAACTAATCCGACTCAATCCGTCTAAGGCGATGTTTTACTTAGGAACAGCGCAGATTAAAGCACTTCCATCGTTTTTTGTCTCCCGGAGGCTACTGGTTTGTAGTGTGTGTTCGATTCTTGGTGCTTGGAGGGTAACCCAAGGGAAATAAAGATAGAACCAGGTATGACCAACAAAAACGATGGTCATTTTGAGCAAATACCGATGGACTTAATTACAATATGGCTTTGTCTGAACATGGAGAAACAATTCATAGCCCTAAATTTGATGGTTGATCATCATTTGGGGATGGTCAAAGGGTCAAACCCTATTATTTTGATCGAAGGAAGTTTAGAAGTCAAACTTCCGACACTATGAACAGATGGAAAAGCAGAGGTGGGAAGAGTCAGCGAAGAGAAGAGAAGAAGCAAGAAGATCAGAGAAGAGAGAAAGAGTCAGAAGAAAGAAGATGCAGGTGCGCGAAAAGGTAGGAAAGTCACGAATCACTGTGTTTTACCAATGATTTGTGGTAGGCACGCTAAAGCGGTGGGTGCGGAACCATCTGGCCAGATGAGAGATGAAAAATTGCACGCCGTGGTGGCGCGAAGCACATTTCGAAGTCAAAAGTGTTAAAAACTGACGGTATCGGAGCACTTTTGGAAGTTGACAAAAGTGCACGCCGTTGTGGTGCGAAGCACATCTCGAAGTCAAAATGCACAAAGCACTTCAGTGTCGGACCACTTTTAGAAGTTGAGATGAGATGTCGAAAACGTGCACGCCGTTGTGGCGCGAAGCACATTTCGAAGTCAAAATGCGCAAGGCACACCAGGTTCGGAGCACTTTTAGAAGTTGAGATGTCGAAAAAGTGCACGCCGTTGTGGCGCGAAGCACATTTCCAATTTTAAAAAAACGCAAACTTATTGCAAGCGCCACATGCTCGGACCACTTTTGAAGGTTCAGATGTGGTTTTGCGTGGCAAGCGCAAGGGATTCTGCATCTTGCCAAACATGAGCAAAACGTGAAGGTTTTTTGTAGCATTTCAAAAAGCGATGGCAGGCGTGGGACATTTGAAGAGGACTGGAAAGATGCATTTCACGTGGCAGGCGCAGTACAAGAGACATGCTCATCAGAGATGTTAGGAGGTCAGGGCGCTGATTTCCTGAGAGTGGTTGCATTTTGGAGCATCAGATCTTCAGGTTTGCTAAGATGATTTTGCGTGACAGGTGCAGCACTTCGTA